TCCCCTTCTTGTGGGGTCAGAGTTCAAAGTTGAATACTCCCCCACGTTGTAAACAGGCTCTGTCAAAGACAAGCAATCGTAATGTGTCGCTGCCTGCTGATTACCACACAAACAAATCCTACATTTATGTTCATTTATTTAAAAGGAAGCACACATCGTATGCATGAGTACATTTCTTGCGGGAAATGTTTTGTTTTTATTTGTATTCAATTATAGTGTGCTAATAAGATAATTTAATACATTGAGAACTTTTTTTTATTTAAAAGAGAGTATTCTATTATGCTCTTGATGTGATAATAAATATTAGCATTTTGGTAAATAAATATTAGCATTATGTGTAATGCATAAATATTAGCATTATGCGTAATTTGCAGAAAATTGCATTATTTTTTTGTGGAAAAACAATTGAGGTTAAATTTGAAAATTCATAAGAAAAATGTGTGTTAGTTCAAAATAATAAAATTGCGTTGTGCTGTGCAATTATGTATTAATTTTATTTCATGTAGAGGTAAAAAAAATTGAACAATATTTTGCAAACTATTTTTAAAACTATTAAGTATGGTTGCAAAACTTAGTAACATCTATTGCAAAATTAAATGCCTATTAAAAATTTGTAAACACTTCTTAGTGTTTACAATTTAACTAGCAATTTTTTTAGACTTAAAACTTTGATTGGTAATGTCCAATAGAACAGCATTTCAAAAAGCATGGCTTAATTGATTTGGTTTGTCGCTCTACGGTCATCTTGTGCACACGAGGGCTAAATAGACCGGGACCTACGGTCTAAAGTGGATTCCAAATCACTACAAACATCCATGCATGACTTGAAGTTCCTACATGCTATCATTAGCTACAAAGTAAAAACGGGGCCAAGTGGCTAGCGCTCTGGCCTTTTGTACCACATGCTTCAGGTTCAAATCCTGGCGATGGCAGAGATGTTTGTGAGTGGTTCGGAATCGACTTTAGACCGTAAATCCCGGTCTATTTAGTCCTCGTGCGCACAAGATGACCGTAGAGAGACAAACCAAACGAAACGAAATCGTATACCGGCGGCGCCATGGATGTTTGTAGTGGGTCGGAATTCATTTTAAACCGTAGGTCCTGGTCTAATAGGATCGTAGAGCGTTGTTTTGAGGTTTAGTCAGTCTTCAGCCCTCGTGGTTCCTCGCAAAAATGAGGCTGCACATTACCCTTAGCCATGGACCAGGTGTAGGCTTTCCTACCCCAGGGGAATTAGTAACAACAACAGAGTAAAAACTGATGAATTTTCAACATGGGAATTGATGAAACTGATGAATTTCCAACATTATTGCATTCTTTTTAAGCAATATGAATAAACACACCTTCGCAAGAGATATGAAATTAAAAAAAACCTATTATAAATTATTAGCCTCCAGAACATGGTACTTTATTGATTAATAGTCCAGCTTCTTCAAAAGGTGAAAATCAATCTTTGCAATTTTTTCTTTTTGTATCTGAAAAGGTCACTGAGGCAGAAAGAAATTCAAGACTTTTTCTCTGCGTAACAGAACACCCGTCCTTTAGATCAAATTCAAGAGCTGTATCCCTTTCAAAAATCATGTTTTCAGGCACCGATATTGTTAAAAAGCTGACTCTACAACGAACAAAAATGGCTTAGTTCGACATTTATGGACTTGCTCCACATTTTTCGAATCAGCTTCGTGAGGAATATAAAAATTGCCAGTATTTAGTAATAAGATTTGACGAGTCACTCAACAAAATTTCACAAAAAACAACAGATAAAAGGATTGTGTGAATGCATTAAAAACAAGTAATATATAAAAAAAAAATTTAAGTCGATTCCTACTTTTTTTTCACTCTATTGCAGAAAGTCCTTTATAAATATTTTTTATTCATTTTTTAAAGTTTATATGCGTCCTCTATTGGAAGATATATGCAACTTAAATCTAAAAAAAAAACTAAAATTAATTATTTAAATTTGCCTCCAAAGAAAAACGAAATGTTGCAAAAAGACGCAATGATTGTAACTGGAAGACAATTGAAGTGCAGCAGGTTGGAAACGTGCTTCCGAAAATAACAATGAAAGTGATCCTTATGCTAATGTTGATTCTCTGTAAAAACAAAACCGTGCAAGTAAAGGCAAAGATTATGTCGGAAAAACTGAGACATACTCCTCTTAGCAGAAGAGCCGGCGCCATTGAAGTTCCCAAATATGCAATATACCGAATTTTTGAAAAAAAGAAAGTTCATAAAACGAGGAAATCCATATCCATTTTAGTTTAACGAACATATGCTTTTGTTTGTCTCTACGGTCATTTGCAGAAATGTCCTTTAGAAATAAAGTTGAAATTTTGCTTTTACAACTGGCGCCATCTATTATAGATATATGCAACTTAAAAGTAAAAAAAAACTACAATTAATGAATTAAATTTAATGAATGAATTAATATTTGAAAAAACTGTATTAACATCCAATGTCATCCACTACAAGTTCAAAACAATGTATTTGAACTTGAATAGATAAATAAAAAGTATTTTATGAACGATTGAGAATTTGAACAAGATATAGATAGGGAGAGTGTGAGCTAACAGAAGGAATTGAAAAAGTTTCGTTTAAAAATATTAGCAGTACAAAGTAAACAACGAACTTCTCAAACTATTATGCCTATATATTCAAATTTCAATATCAAACACTGAATATATAGCATTAAAGGGAGTAGGATATAGGGAAATTATAAAGAAGTTTATGATACTCCTTCAGTGCAAACCAGCATGCTTGCATATAAGCGAAGTGAAAGCAAATTGGATGACTTCTGGTCAAACGTAATTAGTAACTTGGCAAGTCCCTGATTTGCAGCAATTTGTTCCAACTGATTTTTTAACACTTCCTCATGGAAATGCCTTTTTGAAAGGCGTTTGTGCATGGTGGAGAATCAGCCTCAAAAAAGTCTTGTTCGGTTGAGACAAATTCTCGATGGATTGCAAGGTAATGGCTATGGAAGATATTCGCAAAGGTATGGCAGTCTGATGGCCAATTGGCTAGAGCTGTGGCTTTTGGTACCACTGGCTCCAGGTTCGAATCCTGGTTGTGGCATGGATGTTTGGGAGTGGTTCGGAATCCATTTTAAACTGGCCTGATGGCCGAGTGGCCAGCGCTCTGGCTCTCGGTACCACAGGTTTCGGAATCTAGTCCCGGCGGTGCCATGAATTTTTGTAGTAGTTAGGAATTCACTTTAAGGCGTAGATCCCTGTCTCATAGCATCGTAGAGAGTCACACAACCCAATCAAATCTTCACCTACATCCTTCCCAAACTTTTAAGGGGCAACTCAGTTCTAGGCACAGTGGTGTAGTAGTAGTGGTTCAGAATCCACTTTAAACTTTAGGTCCCGGTCTAATTAGCCCAAAATGTGCACAAAATGGCCGTAGAGTGACAAAACAAACTAATCTGTGAAGAAAGAGCACTCTCGACAAGGTAAAACATTTCTCAAAAACTCAAAAGAATTAAACATTTTATTCTGTTCTTATTTTATTTCAGTTTTAGTTTTCGATTAATTTATTGCAAAATATAGTTATTTTGTTCCTAATCGGAAAGTTTTACATTTGACAATTTCGCTTATGCGACGTTCTTTTGACCACTGTTTGACGAATCACGACTCACTCGATAGATGCAGGTTTTAATTGTGGGAAATATTAAGAGATCCTGTTCCTTTCTAGAATCGCATTTGAAGCGATTATGAGAGTGCAGTTCACACCGTCTACCTACCGGCGGATTTCCTTAACTAAGCCTAATGTTCAATCTACCAAGGCTTACGAGATACTACAAGACATTTATGTATAATATTTTTATACTTTGCCATAGTAAAAGTTTTGACTGAGTAGTACAACCTTATTTCTGTCAAAAAAAATTTTTGCTTTTTATTGTGAAAAATGTGTGTGATGACTTAAGGTTCTAATTATATCAGAGAAAATGAGTGTTTTATTTTTTTCAGTAGGATGGTCAGGGCCTGAATGGTCGAGTGACTAGAGCTCTGGCGGTGCCAGGGATATTTGTAGTAGTGGTTCGGAATCCACTTTAAACCGTAGGTCCCGACTGTATATGACTGCGTAAGGGCGTTGAGAGTTGGGCAGGCAACCGCACCCCTTAAAAAGTCAGCGTCCCGGAGCCCAGTCAGACTTCTACCTACGGGTGCTCCATCACAACAACCTTTCTCTTCAACCATGAGACCACACGAGTTCTTGGGCTTCGTCTGCACGTCTATTCAACTAAGTAGGGATAAGAACACACAACAACAGGATGATCAAGTTTTTAAATACACTTGTTAAATTTGTTACGTTTTACAAGGTTTTAAACATAAATGCTATTAATTACTAATGTAGTATAATTTTCATGTTCGTAGTGTTTTTAAAGTAGCTTACAGTGTTGTCCTGGTTTTATGCGAATGATCTGGAATTTTACTATATTTCACCTGGAAAAGTCACGGAATTTTATTTTGTCGGGGTTTGGTTTGGTTTGCTACTCTACTGTCATTTTGTTCACACGAGTGTTAATTAGACTACGACCTGCAGTTTAACGTGCTCACAAACATCCATACCACCGCCATAGCGCTAGAACCAGAAGTCTGTGGTACCAAAGGTCGGAGCTCTAGCTACTCGGACAACAGGTCACCGTTAATTCTCGGACGGAAAGGCCGTTCGAACTTATTAAAACTTTGTGTGGTTTTCTTCATTCATTTGATATGACTATGCTAGGACAGGTTTTAGTGACGCAATAAAAAGATCATTTCGCCCTCGAGAATAACATATAATTTATTCTTTAGTTTCTTTCTTTCTTTCTTTTCATAATATTGTTTTATCATTCGAACTCGGTATCTTAAACAACATAAATTTTTTTTATCGTCATAGCGAAGTAATTTAGCGTATTAGCGAAAGCTTTTAGCACTAGCCAATTGGCCATCGCTCGGCTAAGCGGACGTACACAGAGATGAAGCTGCATAATAATAATAAAAAAAAATTCCACAGTCCAAGAGCAGGATTCGAACCCGCGCTTTCGAGGTTTCAACTGTTAAGCAACAATTCCTCACAAACTGTTGAAGGTTATTGCACAGAAGTTACAGTAAATCACTAGGAGAATAGCGACTAGGGAACTTCGCACAATCGGAATGACTGAGAAGACTAGGGTCCTAACACAAACAAACAACACAGGTAAATCACCGTGAGAGACTAGCACTGTCGATACTACCGGACCTGTCAAACAGACTTTTGCCGCAGCTGAGCGGACTTACTTACGTGGCTTACAACGGTCGCCAATTATCGTTCTGAGTTGATCATTATTGTTTTTTTAATTATCGGTGGGAAAGAGAGGACTTTTCTTGGGGCACACTTTGCGTCGAAATTGTCACTCGTTAGTAATAGAAGCCCGACGCCATGACCACTCGGCCATCTTGGACACGGTGGCCGACTGATTTCTTCACTCTTAAGAGCGGTCGAGAGTCGAAGATTACTTGTTGGTGAATCTCTATTGATTTCTTTTACTCCCTTTATCCCACAATACTAATGGCAGTTGATGTATTTAATGTGTCCCATAATAATAGTAGCCAAAGAAAATAAAAATTCGACATTCATTATCAAAAAACTAAATTAATAAATTAAAAATATTGCTCCTCATTTTTATGATGAGTGTTCGGATAGTTTCTAGATTTTTCAGTTATTTTGTGCATGAGTTGCACATTCAACCCACTGTAGTGTTTAATATGCTGGATCGTTTCGGTTTTTGGACGGAAAAAATTACTTCCAAGTCATTCGACAGTTGTGACACTGTTGGTGGAAAGCCCATCCATCACGGCAAGGTCATATCAAATTGGATGGGGAAAATCGGTGGAACTTTTTTTGATGCCGAACCCTTTCCCCCTTTTTCAGATATCTTCACGTCAAATTTGAACTCATTGTGGTTCTTTTTTTACAGCATTTTAACAGTGGGACTTTAATTACAATCACCCTGTATGTGCATATTAAATTTGTTGGTAAAACTCTAGATTGTGTATCGGAACCACATTAATCTGGAGAAATCTGGATTCTTTCAGACAGCCGAAATGCATTTCAGTGTCTGCAGAATTGGAGACTTATTGGGCATCAAACTGTAATAAGAGTTATTGAAAAAAACCTGGGAACCTATCTGGTTCTTCTTTCCTTCATCTTCAATGGATTCTGTCCCATGGGAATTTAAAATATAATGACATTGCTGATGGACTAGCGAAAGAAGGAACTTCCATGACTCAAGCTAATGAGGAACCTCCGACGTACCTTGAGCTATATTCGAGAAGTAAAGCTTTCTATATATAGTATAACTTCTTTAAGTAGAATACCTCCACAACTCGAAAACATTTTTGTTCTGTTCCCTTCAAGTCCCCAAACCACCATGTCTCGAAATTTCAACCCTCTATAAGTCGAAATAATGAGTCAATCCCACAAGCCATTTTGGTATATATTTTCCCTCCTTAACTCAAAAAAAAGAATTGGACCTCTGTATCATGACATTAGCAATATTTTATTTTACAACTCGATCATTTGAAATTATTTTGATTTTTTATTGCAGTACATCATATAACTTTTAAGTTGCAAATAAACATGTTTATTACCTCTGTAACTTGAATTTTAATTTATCTTACCTCTCTAACTCAAAATAAGTGAGAAGGAATCTAGACCTCTACAAGTCGACATTTCCTTACAAAATCCGCGCAAGTCGAAAACTCTATAACTCGAATTATTTGGCGTCTCCCTTGAAGTTCGACTTACAGAGGTTCTACTGTACACCTCTTGGAAACAACCACCTACGCATCTGTGGTATCTTATTGAGTGTCCTAATACTTCAGTTAGTTTTAAAGGTGACAGGTGAGATCAAGCTGTTTCAGCTCGACTGTCTACGAGGCATTTAAAAACCCTCTGATTTTTCCATGGTGCTAAGAAATTTCCAGTTTACACCAAATGCAGTAATGAAGAAGTCACTCCGCAGCACTTAGCCATCTGCATTAACTTGGTACCTGAGGACCTTCTATGAGACAAATTTATATCTTATACCCCCCTCCCAAAAAAAAAGGCCGTTCTCAGAATCACAGTTCTGGTATTGTATATTAATTTATTTATTTTTCATTTCTTTGACATTTTTTTTATGTTTAATTCTTTTATTTTTTCTTCTATTTTTATTTATTATTCTTTTATTTTATTAGGGGTAAAAAAGAAAAGGTAATATAAGTAATATAATTTTTTTTTTTTTTTTAAAATCAATTCCTACTTTTTTTTCACTCTATTGCAGAAAGTCCTTTATAAATAATTTTCATTCATTTTTTTTAAGTTTATCGGGCGCCCTCTATGGGCAGATATATGCAACTTAAATAAAAAAAAAACTAATTAAATTTAATTACTGAATTTATATTTGCAAAAACTGTATTCACATCCAGTGTCATCCACTATAAGTTAAAAAAAAAAAAAAAAATGTATTGTGAACGCGAGTGGATGAATCAAAAGTATGTTTTATGAACGATAGGAAATGTGAACAAGATATATATAGGGAGAGTGTGAGCTAATAAAAGGAATTGAATAAACTTAACTGTATTTACTAGTCGGCAAAAGAATTAAGAAGTACATCGTACCTGAATAGCGTATGGAGCTGGGCTTAGTTTCGAACTTGCGGTCAGAGATCCGTTTCTTTATCCCTGCGCCAGTTCGTCTTATTTATTGAAAGGCCTCAAAATTTAAGTCCAATGGGTCTCAGATGCACAGTGAGATAATTCTAAAATTGACTTGATTTGCAAATAAGGTAAAATCATTATAATTGCAATGCTTGCATTTGCATTGCAATTATAATGGTTTTACCTTGCATATTCATCGTTACGACCCCCCACTTTCAGCAATCTGAATTGTCAATCTCAAACTAAAATTTTTGGCATCTGAAACGGGCCCTCATTGTACCGAATTTTTAATTTAAATTCTTTTATTTTTAATTTTTTAGTTTTTAGAAACTTTATTTTTTACCCTATACTAACCTTCACCGATTACAGTGGTAACAGGGTTCATCCCACGGAATAGCGGTCTCTTGTTAAACCATTATCAGTAGTTTAAATACTAACACAATGGGGGAAAAAATGAAATAAATTATAGTTTAAAAAACACGCTTTTAGAGTTAATCAAACTAAAAAGTAAAAAAATAATTGTTAACATAAGAATAAAATGACTGAGGAGAAAATGAATGTCACTGTTCTGAAAGCGTGGGGTGCTTTTTATGACATTTTTAAACTAACTCTGCATTTCGGAATGAAACTCGTGAAAAATTATAACCATTGATATAAAAATTATAACGATGATTGTTACTCATTGAGTCCTACCCAGGGGACACGTGCAGCTTGAAGGCAGGCTACGGAGGCGAGTCACACTACCCCCACACAATGCTCTACTATCCTATTAGACCGGGACCTATGGTTTAAAGTGGATTCCTGAACCATTACAAACATCTATGGCGCCTCCGGGATTCAAACCGGAAGCCTGTGGTACCAAAGGCCTGAGAGCTGGTCTCTCGGCTTCAGGCCGCACTAATAATACAAGAGACTTCATTTCGACTGTCACAGTATATGGGAGCGTCGTACATCATGCCACCCTGTGGGAGTTTCACATATGTATGGCCCACGAATATCCTGAACGCCACCACCTAATAACATCTATGAGATAATACTAATGTTTAACAAGTATTACGTATTATGTTGTTGTTGTTCTAATGCAGCTGGCAGTACAGAGACAGTTCATCTTCATGCCGTCAGCAAGGGCTGCACCACTGTCCGAAACACTCACAAACATCCATAGCATTGCCGGGACTCGACCTCGAAAACTATGGCACCGAGCGCCACCCACTCGGCTATCAGATCCTTCTCATTATTAGTAATTTAAATACTATCAAAAATGGGGAAAAAATACTCAGGGGGGAAAAAAAGTAAAAAGAGGGAATATCAACGGTTAACGTGTCTTTCTAATGCAGCTGGCAATACAGGCAATACATTTATCGTTTATGCTTTAACAAGGGCTGCACCGCTGTTACTCATTCAGCACTAACCCGAGGGCTAGTGTAGTTTGAAGATACTCTACGGACGCGAGTCACACTACAATCACTCACAACGCTGTACAATCCTATGAGACCGGGAACTAAGGTTTAAAGTGGAAAAAATGTAAGTTAAGTAAAGTTTCAGAATTGCTACAAACATTCATGACCAAACCGTCGGTCCCGGTCTAATAAGACTACTACTACTACACCACATCGCACCACTGTGTCTAGAGCTGAGTTGCCCATTTACAGTTTGGGAAGGATGTGGGTGACAAGAAGTCGGATTGGACTCTGTGACACTCTATGGTCCTACTCCACTCTACTGAAACTGGGACCTACGGTTTAAAATGGATTGCGAACCACTACAAACGTCCATGGCACAGGCGGGACTCGAACCTGAAACCTGTGGTACCGAGCGCCACCCACTCTGCCATCGGGGGGTGGGTGGGTTGATCAGCACCCCCCATTGCGCCCACCCAATTCGTAATGTTTGTCCTTAAAAGGGATATCTGGGGATTGTCAGCCAATGGATTTATTGTGTCTATTCATACTTATGAGGGTCTGATGGCCGAGTGGCAAGCGCTTGGTACTACAAGTTTCGGGTTCGAGTCCCGCCGGTGCCATGGATGTTTGTAGTGGTTCGCAATCCAAGCACCCCTGAGAGTTTAGTTTAGTTTGTCGCTCTACGGTCTTTCTGTGCACACTTTAGGCTCATTAGACCGGGACCTACAGCTTAATGTGGATTCCAAACCCCTCACAAACATCCATGCCACCGCCAGGATTCGAACCTTAAGCCTGTGATACCAAAGGCTAGAGCTCTAGCCAAATAGGCCATCAGGCCGCAGAACCCCAAGTGTCGAAAATGATGTCGAACTAGAACTTTTGATTTGTATGTCACGTGAACACTTTCCCTCTCTTAACTGTAACCAACCGTACTTCGGTTTAAGAACTGTACTTCCTTGTTAGTAGTTAGCCGCGCTAAGATGCGCTTTCTCTGTCTGTATGTCTGTCTGTAAATTTTTTGTATCTTCTCGTCATTAATATTCTTAATAAAAAGTAATTGAAATAGAATATTGGAATTATCTGCCTACTTCCCGACCCTTTGGATACCTCTTAATAATCCTGGAACTGGAATGGTAAGAGAAATTTTATATGAACCTTTCTAGTTTTATTTTGGAGGATTGTTTTGGTGAGGTAAAATTTGGCATCCCTGCCGGGATTGTAGTCAGTTAATATTTAGATGAGATACTTTTAATTTTGAAATGGCGAGTGACGAAAATAGTAAAGAGAAATTATATTTGTTAAAAAAGAAACGGAGTGTTTCTAGAACATCCGTTACAAAAATTCTAACAAAATTAGAA